CAGAGCCCGCCTGTGGAGGAGGGGCGTGAGGGGCGCCGCCCGGAGAGGGTCTCCCCCAACCGCCCGGTAGTTTCTCAGCTCAGTAAGCCCCACCCTCACCTTTTCTCTGGTTTCCCTGTGTCTCTCCATCTAAATCCAGGGCCAGCCGCTAGGAGTGTGCTTGGAGCTTCTTGCCCTCTGGTGAAATCTTGATTAACTGAGCCTCACCTTGTCGGCTGCCTGTGTCTCTCTTTTTCTATCGGCCAGAACGACGGGTCTGAACCACCTGGCCTTTGCCCAGGACTTCTCCCTCTCCCGCCATTCTTTTCAGGTTTCTTTTCCAGGGCTCTACCTTCAGGTCTGTGCTCAGATGTCCCCTCCTCCAGGAAGCCCTCCGGGAATCTCCCTCCATCCCAGTCCTGCACTCCCCATGACTACTCTGAGCTGTAGCTGAGGATGACTCTTCTCTGTCTTCCCCTTTGGATTGATACCCTCATGAAGGCAGGGCCCAGAGCTGTCCTGGTCACTGCTGTGTCCCTAGTATCACACAGCCCAGAATGAATACTCAGTGTTTTGGTGAGAATTAGTTATAATAAAAATGCACCAAGCTCTTTACATTCATATTAAAACTTTTAGCACCTAGTTCAAATCAGGTCTCTCCACTGCTCAGACATCTCCTGTGGCTCTATCTTTTTCTGGATGAAACCAGAATCCTCCCCCGTGGCCCAGGAAATTCCATAGGATCTGTCCTGGTCACCTCCCTGACCTCATCTCTCACTTCACTGCTTCAACCACACTGGCTTCCCTGAGATCCTCAACACACCTGGCACATTCCTAACTCAGGGCCTTTACAACTTGCTGTTCCCTCTGCCTGGAACATAATCTTTCCCCAGATCCCACATTGCTCCCTCCCTCACTACCTTCAGAAGGTCCTCCCTAACCATTCTAGCTAAAATGTCAACCGGCCTCCACCCCATATATACTCCCCATTCCCTTTCTGGCTTTATTTTTCTTATTTTTATCACCGTCTAACCTCGAACACATTTAGTTATTTATCTTGTTTATCTGCCCCATCAGCTCTATGAGGGCAGGGGCTTTGGTTTCATTCCCAGTGCCTAGAACAGTGATGGCGAACCTATGACATGCGTGTCAGAGGTGACACACGAACTCATTTTTTTGGTTGATTTTTCTTTGTTAAATGGCACTTAAATATATAAAATATCAAAAATATAAATCTTTGTTTTACTATGGTTGTAAATATCAAAAAATTTCTATATGTGACACGGCACCAGAGTTAAGTTAGGGTTTTTCAAAATGCTGACACGCCGAGCTCAAAAGGTTCGCCATCACTGGCCTAGAACAAAGTCTAGCACATTGTAGATGCTCAATAAATATTTATGAGATAGGAATATTACCTGACCCATTTGACAAAAGAACGAACTGAGGCTGGGAAGAGGGGCACTTCTCCAGGCCCTGGGGCTAAAGAAGGCAAAGGCAGGGTTCTCACCCGGGACTGTCTGATCCAAGCCCTGCTCTTGCACACTGACCATGCAGTGACCCTCACCCTCATCCCTGCTGTTCTGGTCTCCCCACCTCACCGTTTTGGCATGGCTGCAGGCTGCACCGGTCAACCCTCTTCTCACAGTTGGAGCCTTGGAAACCAGGTGGGCAGTGGCAGATGTAGGCAGAATCCGGGTCTGTACCTCCCACACACAAGCCACCATTGAAACAAGGTCCATCCGCACATGTCACCCCACTCACCTCACATTGCAACCCATAAAACCCACGGGGACAGGCACATTCGAAGGATCCGGGTGTCTCCTGGGCAGGGGCAAGAGGACTTTAGATTGAGGTCTCCTTGGAGCAAAATCCCATGCCCTTCCTTAGTCTTGACCCTGGGGGCTGCTCCTTGTCAGGACTCACCTCCCAGCATGCAGGGGCCTCACCTAGAAAGCCCTCCCAAGACAACCCCTCCCTCTACTCTATGCTTCTGGGTCTGCCCATCCAGCCCACAGGGAAGAGGCTATGAAGGCCCTGAGAGAGCCCATTCCCACCTCTACTCCTTTGCCTACCAAATGCTGCTGCCCAGTCTGCCCTCCCCAGTTCTGTCTGCACAGCCAATCGTGAGCTCCTAGCCCTGAGCCACCCTCCTCCACGGATCCTTCCTCAGATCTCCCCCTAGAAGGCCCTTCCCCTAACTTGAACCCTGAGTATGTCTCCCTGTTCCATGCTGGCAGTGTCCAGGGGTCCACATTATCCCAGCACACACCAGGCTCACTCCCACAGCCACACCTTTGCTTACCCCAGGCCACTTACCTGGTCTACCCTCTGCAGTCACCTCCCCTCAGCCAAATTGGATTTCAGAAGCCCCAGCCCTGGGCTCATCTCCAGGAGGCCCTCTCCGATATGCCCCCACCCCAAGTCCCCACGCCATCTGGTCCCACCACTCCACACCTGGAGTCCAGAGTTGTTCTCTGTCCCACAGGAAGGACAGTTTGTGGCCCCTCAGGACTCATCATTCCCACACTACACCCTTAGGTGCCATCTACGGGGTCTACTCTCCCCAATCCCATTCCTAGCACCCCATCCTAGATGCAGACTGGACAGCTCTAGGAAGCCCTCCCCTGACAGCTACCCCAGCCTTCCCCAGGTTGTTGTCTCATGGAGCCCCAGTCAGGGGACGGCGGGAACTCCCAGGGTTACTTATCAGGAAGAGGTGGGAGGGGGTGATACTAACACTACAGCTGCCCCCGTTGGCACATGGATTCCCATCACAAGGCCCAGGACCAGGCATGAGGCATCCAGTGACAGCGGAGAATGGGCCCCTGGAGCTGAGACAGGTGCTGCTGGAGACAGGGACTGTGCAGAGGGGCCCAGTCCAGCCTTCCAGGCATTGACATTCATCAGGCCGCTCACAGAAGCCATGCTCTGGGCTGCAGCCGGCTCGACATGCCGCTATGGGGGACAGAGAGGCAGAGGGAAAAGGAATATTGATGAGGACAGAGTTGTTTCTAAGTGCTCTCTGTGCACCATCTTGTTTCGTCCTTGTGACACAACCCTCTGGGCTACATGGTATTGTAACCCCCAGTTAATAGACAGGGAAACTGGTGCCTAGAGAGGTGGAATGACTCGCCCAGGTAGAAAGTAAAGGAGTGAGAGCAGAACACAGGCCACTGGCTCCAGAGTCTGTGCTGGGGGATGAAGAATGTTGGAGCTCACAGGTCTGAGCTTAGAAAGGGGAGGATGAGGGAAGAGCATCTGGGGTTGGGGAGGGACCCTGGCTTTTTATGGGAAATGGGAGGGTCTTGGATTAGAGCAGGTCTGGGAAGATCTGGATTAGCCTAGGAGTCCTAGGAGCTTTGGTGGGGCTCAGACATTTGGGGAGCTGTCTGAGGATTCCCAGGATGGAGGTCGGGGAACCCAAGCTTTAGAAGGCAATGAGGTCTGGCCTGCATTTGCAGGGAGGGAGGATGAAGGATCCTTTAGGGGGCGAAGGGGAACTCCAACGGGTTTCCAAAGCGCCTGGGTGGGGGTAGGGAGGGCCCCAGAATGAGAAGAGCTCTGTTGGTCCTAGCATCTGGAAATGGGTGTGGGTTAGGGGAGGAAGGGGGGATACCAGCATGGGAAATGTGTGTGGGGTTTCTATTTGGGGCAAAAAGAATGCTAGGAAGAGGAAAGGGGCCTGGAGTGCCAAGGCAGGACTGGAGAGTAGTCCAACGTCCTCAGTTTTCCTGAAGCGGGTAGCTGGACCATGGGAGGGAGCTAAGGCCCATGAGTGAAACTAGAGTGGGGCCCGGGCAGCAGTCAGTGGCACTCCCTAGTTTCCTGGAGTGGGGTTCTGGGGTATCTGGTGAGGGTTCTCCAGTCCCCAGTTCCCTGAAGAAGGCAACTGGGTTGCAAAAGGAACCCAGGGGCGGCGAGTGGCGCTAAAGAAGGGCCGGAAAAGAGTTGGGGCAGAACTCAGGACTCACGCTGCGCCTCGCACTCGTCCTCCACCGGCGCGCAGGGGCGCAGTCCCGGGCTGC